GGGGGAGTTGGGGGTACGGGGGGGGGGGGGGGGACGGCACGACACGGTGGATCGGTGGGGTGCTGGCCCTGTCCGTCCTGGGACAGCTTGGGGAGGGGGGGGACCCCTGTCCCCATAGGGTGCTGCCCCATCTGTCTGTCCTGGGACAGCTCAGGGGAGGGGGGGGACCCCTGTCCCCGTAGGGTGCTGTCCCCATAGGGTGCTGCCCCATCTGTCTGTCCTGGGACGGCTCAGGGGAGGGGGGTCCCCCTGTCCCCATAGGGTGCTGCCCCATCTGTCCATCCTGGGACGGCTCAGGGGAGGGGGGACCCCCTGTCCCCATAGGGTGCTGCTCCATCTGTCTGTCCTGGGACGGCTCAGGGAAGGGAGACCCCCGCTCTGCTGGGGTGCTGCTTGTCCCCATCTGGTCCTGGGACAGCTGGGTGAGGTGGGACCCACTGTTCCTGCAGGGTGCTGCTCGTCCCCAGCTGGTGCTGGGACAGCTGGGGATGGTATCCCTCCTGGGGTGGTCCTGGATCCACTGTCCCAGTGGGATGGTCCTCATCCCCAGCAGGTCCTGGGGATGGTATCCCACCCACTGTTCTGCTGGGGTGCTGTCTGTCCCCACCTGGGTCCCAGGACAGCACAGGGAAGGGTGGCTCACCCCCAGTGGGGTGCTGCTGCTGATAAACACTTCTGGTCCTACCGAGCCCCATGAAGAGCCCTCGTTGCAGGTGTTCTTTGCTTGCTTGACAGCAGTCCCTTCAGGAGAGCTGGTGGACCTTGGGTACCAAAATGCCGCTCCAGCTGTCCCTGCTGCCTCGCTAGAGCACCAGGATTTGACCTTGGGGATTGTGGAAATACAGACAAATCGGATACGAGTGATAGGACTTGAAGGGGGTTTTAGCTGAGCCATTGTTTCCCTAATTTAAAAGAAATCTTTTTTCCGCACAAATGGGGGAAGCGTGGAGTTTCCCGGGCGTGTGTATCGCTGCGAGCTGTGGAGATGGTGTGTGAGGACACCCTGCAGCTTCCATGGTGGGGAAGAAGGAACCGTAAACGGTCACTTTTTCCCAATGAGGATGCGAATGCATGGCACAGAGGAGTGATGTTGACTCACTGTCCATTGCCTAAATGAGGAAATGTCTGTCTGTCCAGAAGTCAGCCCAGCCAGGCTTGATGACTTTGTAGTTATCGGCGTGCTGCTTTCATTTTCTGTTCTCCTTTCCTTTAAATGAACTCTGTTAGGTTACTATTTGAACATAAGCCAAAGCTGCCTGGAAAAGAGCTTTGTTCAGGAAACTTAGAGAAGTGTTGCGAAGTTTACCTAGAACTCAGCTTGGATTGCAATTCTGGGTAGGAAGAACATGAAAGGAAAGTCTGACCTAGTAGAATGGAAAGTGTGGTGGGAGGGTTGTGAAGATTTAATCAGAGCATTGTAATAGCCTTCCTATGCAAATCGGTTAACCTGGCTCAGGTTACCTATTTCACAGCCTCTGAGCATCTGTATATAAGGGCTTGTTTTTTTCAGAGGGTGACGTTAATAGTGAACAACAACTTTGCTCCTTTCTGAAGCAAAATCGAGTGCTAGATCTTGATATTTCAGTAGCGCTGGGGATAAGAATAGGGAGATAGAGCAGGTTATGCTGCCCACAGAGCAGTACCAGAGGGAATGCCCCTGCTGTTAGTTAACCAGCCAGAGAAAATCCAGCTCCTGCTTACCAAATCTCGGCTCTTTGGCTGCTGTGATATTTATCTGTGCTCAGGATAAGGTGTAAATGCAACGTAAGTCACCCAGGCTGTCTGGTTGGAAGGAGACAGCCCCAGCACGGCCTGGAGGGCGTTGCCTCTTTGACAGTGACCCAGCGTGAGTCTGATCTGACCGTTGCTTTTTGGAGGTTTGGGCAGACCAGTGTTACGCACAGCTCTTCGTGTGAGCGAAAGCCTCCTCCCTGGTTAGCCAGTGAGCAGAGTGAGCCAGGCGACATGCGTGGGCGTCCTCCTCTGAGCTGCCCAGCAGAAACAAGAAGCGACCCGGGGGCTGTCGGAGACCAGGCAGCTCTCGTGGACCGATGCTGCTAGTGTGTCTCAGAGCAGCACTCGAACAAAGGCTGTTGGAATCAGCCCTCCGGCAGGGAGGGGAATTAATCGCCCTATTCATTCTTCCCAGCGAGCTTGTCTCGCTGTGCTTATGTAAAGTCAGGGTATGAATTATTTACAGCGGGCTTTCCCACCGTAGTAGTGCCGGTGTACGGAGCCAGAGCGGGAGCGTCGGGCTGGGGGCACGGCGATGCTCCGCGCTGGGTGTCACCCACCACCAAGGTGACGGCAGCGAGGGGCGGCTGCGCGATGGCGGACAAAACGCTGGGCGTGTGGCACACAGCATCCTCTGCCTTCCACGCGTACCGCAGTCTTTCGTAAATGAAAGAGCCTGAGCTGTGCTGCCAGGGAGGAGGAGGAGGAGGACCAACACAACACCGGTGCATGTTGCCATGGAAACGCTGGTCAATTGATGCGCCATCAATCGCAATACAAATAATTTTCTATGTTTGCAGCTTTTTTTTTTTTTCCCCCCTTGCTACAATCAGGTGGCATCGCTGTCTAGTGTTCGTCACACTGCATCTCTCATAGAAGCTTGGGAGAATAACAGAACCTTTAAAGAAACGGAGCTGTGTAGGCTGAGCTCCGTGAATGAGGCTGGAGGCAACTGGTGAGGCTCTGACTCCCGTGGAACAGCAGGAGGAGGGATGGAGGCAACTCGTGGCCATCCAAGGAGTGGGCTGGAAGCAGAGACGTGTGGTTCCCGGGGTCTCACGAAGACACTCGCTGTTGTTGCTGCATGGGGAAAAGTCAGATTTTCCCTTTTCATCTGCTAGGGCTGAGCCTGGAAGCAGCTGTTTAACACAGCGATATGTCCGAGGTCAGGTGAAGAGGGGGCATGTGTTGGCCGTCCAGCTCCTGCTGTGGCTAATCCTAGGCACATCGCTTCAACTGCCTTTTTCTAGTTGACCTTGAATTCAGAGATGTGTTATTTCTTTCCCTAATAGACAGCTATGTAGTTTGTTTCCCCGCAGCTGTGGGCATGTTCACAATATTTGTCATTTCAGCTTTAAGAATAAAATATAAATGGCGGCAACTTTAATTTCTCATAGGATTTGCTTGAGTGTTTCGAAAAACCCTACATTTTGAATGGGGGTTAATTTGGAGCATGGGGTTGCTTAATATATTACACTGGGCTTTCCTAGCCCGCTGTTATGATTTGATACAGCAGTGTGTCATAACACAGCTGGTCAGATGAAGCTTTTTTTTTATATTTTTTTTTTTTTGCTGGGGGTAGGTCTTTGGCTGTATCGTAGTGGCAGGGTAAGGATGCTTAGCGGGATCTTCCCTAGACAAGATGCGTAGGAGTCAATGTGGGTCAAGTTTGTCCCTCCCAAACCCCCAGGCCATCTGTATCCTGTCTCTCCTCGAATATTGGCTTCACGTGCAGAAGTGCTCAGCTGTTGATGCACGTGGAGACCCTGTAGTCGTGCCTCCCGGCCCTGCATTCGGCGCAGAGATGTTGTTTCTTTGGTGATTATGTCGTAGCCTGGCAGGATGAAGTTGCTCAAACTCCCACGGGATATGAATCATTGTGGTGTGACACATTCAGCGGTTCTCACGCTGCTGCTTCTGAGAAGAGGCAATACAACTTGAGCTACACAAGCTCCAAATATAAAACCTTAAATAGGAGTTATTTTCCTCTGACCGCTAACAAAAATACTGAGGATGAACCACAAAAATAGCCTTTGCCATACTGGTGTCACAGAACTGGGAGGCGCTTCTGGAATTGCTCAGTTCAGCCTGTGCCAGTGGAAACTGCCTCATCCTAGACGACTGTAAGTCAGCTTTCCTATGGCAGTGTTTGGTGATGCCGCTTAGACTTTTGTGTAGACAGCACGCTTCCTTCTGGAAGCATCACACTACTATCAGAAGAAGTGAGTTGCTTGAACCTGGCCTCCCTCTCTTGCACATTCAGTTGGTTTTACTCAAGTTTTGGCTTATTCCGGAGGCAGAGTGTTGTTCTTCACTGCTCTTTAAAAAAGGAAATTCTGTGGAGATCAACAGGAGCTTGCTTCTTGAGATAGCTATATGTGGAAACCCCTCTTGTTCCACTTTTTTAGGATCATTCAGTTGATAGAAGTGCCCAGGCCAACCTCAGCTTTCCTAGACCACTCCGGGCCATATAGCATCCACCCGTATGCCTGTGCTAAGGAACTGGGGTATGTGTGTTTAGCCACAGGTGCCTGGAAAGAGTGAGCCTGTCGTAGGAGCCCAAATCGGCAGAAACAGCAAGCTGTTAGCCAGGCACACCGGGCAAGACAAATCTGGTCTGTGTGAATTGACAGTGAGAACTGCCAGCAGTTATTGAGGGGAGAATTCAATACTGTAAGCTGTCTATATAAAAGGTATCTGCCCCAAGTAACCCAATTAGCACTACGTAATTTCAGGCCCTGCAGCACAATTCACAGGACTGGAGAAAGCAGGAATTTGTCTAGCGTGCAGGCTGCTGTACGGACAGTGGTCAGAAATAAGATGAAAGAAATGAGATGGGAGAGGTGGGCTGACTGTCTGCACTGGCTGACCTGCCCCGCAGGCTCCAGGGGTGAAAGCACGCGTCGCTCAGCGTATCTGCGAGCTCGCTGCCGCGGTTCTGCAGCCAGCTGCTTTGAGCAGAGCGGCTCAGGCAGCGACAGCCTTCTGTGCCACCCTGGGCAGGCTGAATTAAAAGGATCGCTGGACTGTCGCTTGATAACTTTGTCTTTTACTAATTCACCCGGTGTCTTCGTTCTCCAGTTACGCGGTTATTGCCTACGGCTGTGCCAGCTGCCCCAAGCTGACCTGCGAGAGGGACGGCTGCCAGACGGAGTTCTGCTATCACTGCAAACAGATATGGCATCCCAACCAAACCTGCGACATGGCCCGCCAGCAAAGGGCACAGACGCTCCGAGTACGGACCAAGCACACGTCAGGCCTCAGTTACGGACAGGAATCCGGGCCGGGTATGGATTCACACGTTTTTTGGTTACTCAGTGCTGCAGTTATGCCTGTGAAGGTGAGAAAGAGCCACCTGTGTGCAAAAAAAACCCCTTCCCGGCAAAGCGGGGGGGTGTTAGTGCCCTGTGGGGAACGCTGCTGCGTGGCACAGCTGAGGGTCTCCGGCAGCCGCGGGTGAGAACAGCTGTGAAACTCCAAGTCATTTCCCCTTCTCATGTGTGTTAGAACGTGTCTGGTGGGCTCCTCCAAGAATGCAAACCAGATCAGTAGGTGATGATGTGCTTTTGGTCCTTCCGCATCACGGCAGCTCCCCTCATCCACCCCAGCTAGGCTTGTGGCTCTTTTGATCTTGGATGTTCTCGCTTCTTGCTGATCTAAACCTTGAACAAATACGCACTTTTTACCCTTGCAGCTTCAAATTTGCCTGCTGCGGTAGTAAAGCGTAGCATTCGTGTCTAGTTGAGTGTGGGGAGCCTCGCTCCATGCACTGTTAGGTGTTAGTAATGTCGGGTACAGAAAAAAAAAATGCCAACCCACAGACTCCTCTGCTGCCTGGTAGGAGCTGCTGTGTCTCCTGAGTTAGTGTTCGTTAAAAATAACTGTATTGACTCTGGAAGTGGGCAGTAAGGCCATTTCAGAAAGTCTCGCCCTACCCCCAAACAAAACACCCTGCTTTTCCTTCTATGTCAGGAGTTTAAATGTTAATACGCTTACTTAGAATGGAGCTGTCGTGGGTGGTTCAGAGGTGGCTTAGTGGTATGTCAAGATTCAACATGCCCCAGTTAGAGGGCCCTGATAATGGACAGCATAGATACTACCACAGCTTGTGGTACAAGCCAGCAAGCAAAAAATAGTTTCTGAGTTTTTTCATCCTTTTAAAGGAGATCCCTGCCAGGAAGAGCTTAGCACTCAGCCACTGAAAGGGAGGTTCTTGAGACAGTGGTTTTTCCCCACCCTGTTCTTGCTGGATTCAATATAGTGATTAATAAGGTGCGAGCTGGTCTCAGCAGCTGGATTTCATATTGTCGAGTGTTGCAGAGGCTGCCAGCAAAGCCTTGAACCACTGCGCAGCCATTGCATAACTGTGATCAGATGACACTTGAATTAAGGAAGAGATGAAGGACCCTTATCCTGCTTTGCCAGCAACAAACTGGGGACTGGACAGCCTCTGCACCGGACCCCCGTGTGTGGCTGCAGACCCCATTCCCCCTTCTGGCTACTTTTGAAGGCCAGGTTTGGAGTTTCTCTGATGCCTTGTTCTCCCAATTGTTCTGTCGTTCTTGGCCCATGAGTCACCTCAGTGGAGCAATTTAGTAATGGTTTGTTCTTACGCTGTTGCCTTGGCTAGCACAGGGCAGGTATGACTTGTTCCCAGCGTTTAAGCATGTTCTGGAATACATCCTGTTCAAGGCTAGAATAAGCTTTTAAAGTGACTGTTGTTTGCAGTCCCTGCTGTCCAGGCAAATGGCTTTGGTGGGATCTGTCTCACCGATATTATCTTCTTACTCTGAAGATAAACTGGGGATGGTTGTGTCTTTAGTTTATCTGTGATTAGCAAAGGTGTTCTGCCCGCACAGAAAACAAGGGTTTCAATCCATAACGAGAACCCCCTCGTTGATTCTTCATACTTGCAGCACAGAGTGTCCAACTCAATCCCGTGCTTGCTCCCCGCAGCTGATGACATCAAGCCGTGTCCACGTTGCAGTGCTTACATCATCAAGATGAACGATGGGAGCTGTAACCATATGACCTGTGCCGTGTGTGGCTGCGAGTTCTGCTGGCTGTGTATGAAGGAGATCTCGGATCTGCATTACCTCAGGTGAGAAAGGGGAGCAGCACGCCTGGGTTGCTGCCGGTGGGGTAGCATGTGCTTCTCTGAGGCTGGTTGGAGGAATTCATATCGTGTGTTGGCCTTTCATCCTCCTGCCTCTCCAATCAGTCAGTAAAATTTTCTTCTTTCTGACACAAAGATCTGAACTTTCTCCCTATGTTACAGCAGGAGGCTGCTCATCCCCACCAAGAAAAGCTCCTCCTGATACAATTGCATTTGAGAGAGCTCTTAGCCTACTGGATCTTAAACGTAGTCCCAGTAGTGTGATAATCACCTCGATGAGCAAATTAATCTTGATGGGGAGAAAGAGGGAAACCTTTTTTGCGTTGTCTATCCGCTTCCTAAGTTTTGGGGTTTGGGTTCATGCAGAAGTTGAACTTGGGGTTCTCAGGAACACATAGGAATTGCTGTGGTGTTAATGTAATTTTTTTTTTTTTCCTTCCATTAAGCCCCTCTGGCTGTACATTCTGGGGCAAAAAGCCATGGAGTCGTAAAAAGAAGATTCTCTGGCAGCTGGGCACATTGATCGGTGCTCCCGTAGGCATTTCCCTCATTGCTGGCATTGCCATTCCTGCTATGGTCATTGGCATCCCTGTGTATGTCGGGAGGAAGGTAAGTGTGGAGAGTACAAGGTTGTTGCTGAGGGATCTGGGGCTTTTGGGCCATTCTCTGTACTTAAGGCATCTGACCAGAAATTCAGTGTTGATATGAAGGGTGGATCTTTTCATAGAACCAAAATTTAGTTGTCTTTTCTAAACCTTGTCTTATCTTTTGGGCTTCATGTGGGGAGAGGGAAGGTGGTGGCTGATAGCCCTTCAGGCTGAAGTCCTTTCAGATGCATTTTGCATTGCTCTTGTGCCTCTGCCTTGAATCAGGAGCACCCAAGGAAAAACCTGGTCCCTTTTTTAACACATCCTGTGATGATGGGCTCTATGGGACAGTGGCTGCACCCTGAGCATCACACTTTGGCTTGCATGAGTCAATCGTGTGTTTTGATGCTGACCTGCTGCCCCAAACTGTGTGATACTGTTGTGTGTCTGTGCTGATAAAGAGGTGTTGAGAGGGAAGAAAAGGCATGTCAGCACCTTACCTGTAGCTGCTTCTTTTTCTTAAACACAGACCCACCTGCTAGATCTGATCTGTGAGGAGATCTGTGGTCAAGATGAGATTCTTTAAGGACCAATGCAGCTGACAAGGCTGTAAAATCACAAGTTTATTAATGTCTTTTGCTGGTATTTGCTCATGGCCAGGGTCTGTTCTCACCTGGTGCTTCTCTTTCCGTCAGATCCACAGCAGGTATGAGGGAAAGAAAACCTCTAAGCACAAGAGGAACTTGGCCATTACTGGTGGGGTCACCTTGTCTGTCATTGCCTCTCCAGTCATCGCTGCTGTCAGTGTTGGTAAGCGGGCACAGTCCCTTTCCCTCCTGGTGGGCCGGTAGTCACCGAGACAAGTGGGTAGCCCAGCCCTGTGAGATGGGGGTGGCCAAAGGGCAGTTTGCGGACCGCTGCTGCATGCTCTTCTGGGCACATCCCTCTGTTTCGCATCCAGGCTGCATGTCCTCATGTGCTTGAGTCGGCCTGGAGCCAGCATGGGGCTTGTCTGGGGCACCAGTTGCCTGTGCCACAGCCCACAGTGGAGTCCCTTGACACGCAGAGCTGTCTCTTACTCATAGACTGTTTTGGTGGCTGATGTTTTGGGGGTTCAGCCGAGGCCATCTGTGCTCTTGGGGTTCCCTCACTCTGCACTGCAGCAGCACAAATGAAGGGCTCCTCCACTGTCTTATCTGCAAAGTTGTGAACTAGGACCTTTAAAAGCAGCGTAAACACAACTGAAAGAGTCCCTACCCCAAAGAGTCCTTTCTGTCTGCCCAATGCAGCTCAGTCTTAAACTCCTCTTAACTCAGCGCATCCTACCCTCCAGGCATTGGCGTCCCTATCATGCTGGCTTACGTCTATGGTGTTGTGCCGATCTCGCTGTGCCGAGGCGGTGGCTGTGGAGTTAGCACCGCCAATGGAAAGGGTGTGAAAATTGAGTTTGATGAAGATGACGGACCAATCACAGGTACGGTGATAACTGGTGAAGGGAAGGGGGTGAAGCAAGACCCTGTCATTGCCTCTTGTAATGAAATAGTAGGGGGTCTTAACATGTCCCAAATCTGAGTATCAGTCTTTATACCTGGGTTTGGCTAGAAGCAATTATTTGCTTCAGTCTTCTGGTGATCAGCTGTGTAGCTCTTGAAGCAGAATCTCAGCTCTTTCTTGCCCTGGACAAGGCAGGGGGGCAGTCTGAGACGAGACGCACGCTGCCTGCTGTCTGACCCCCGGCTCTGCCAGCACCGTCGCAGCCAAACGTTTCCCTTGCTGATTCCGATTCCTGTGCTCTTCTTCCCCGCAGTGGCTGATGCCTGGCGAGCCCTGAAGAACCCCAGCATTGGCGAAAGCAGCATTGAGGGGTTGACCAGTGTGCTGAGCACCAGCGGCAGCCCCACCGATGGGCTCAGCGTGATGCAGGGCAACTACAGCGAGACGGCCAGCTTCGCCGCCCTCTCAGGCGGCACCCTGAGTGGAGGTGTCCTCTCGGGAGGCAAGGGGAAATACAGCAGGTAACTGAACTGATGGGCACAGCAAGAAAAGGGTAGAGGCTCCCAAGGCCCATGTTGGTTGAGTAGGCTTCTTTTGGGGAGCTCTCCTGGACTGTGGGTGGTCCTTCTTTGACCTGGGAGCCGTGTCCTAGTATTTTTTACTTCTTGGTCTATTGTAGAATAACCAGTCCCAGCAGACCAGGCTACTTCTGGAGTCAGTGCTAGGCTGGTTCTTGCAAGGAGGACAAAAGATAAGTTTTTGTCCCTGCTGAGCTCCTTGAAACTGCAGAGCTGATGCTTCAGGTTAATTGGGGACAGCGCAGAGATGCGTGCATGGCCTGTTTAAAGATCTTCCAGTCCTCTTATCCCAGCCTAGAGGCTTTGATGCTTCCTATTCTCCACTGGCCTATAGCAAGCAGGGTCACTGCTTTCCAAGTCAGGAGGTTATACCACAGTTTTCCTCTAAACTTGCCTGTGAATCAGTTTGCTGGGTAATTGGAGACACGTGTTGATACGGCAGCCAGGATATAATTGTGACTGCGCTAGATCTGTGGAAATCGGTTCTTCACAGGAATTGTGTGAGTCATTGATATAAACACAACTTTACCTTCGTCATGGAAAACAGAATGGGTTTACCTAAATGGAGCCAAAAATGAGACTAAATGAACCGTTGGGCTTAAACTCTTGTCATGCCGAGACGCACCAGCACAGACGGCCTTTTTCTTTCCCATGACAAACAGCAATTGTTTGGTGCCCCTCAGGGACCATCTAAGGCATTTCTGAGGAATCCTCTTCTTTTCTGCAGGCTGGAAGTTCAGGCAGATGTCCAGAAGGAGATTTTCCCCAAAGATTCGGTCAGCTTGGGGGCTATCAGTGACAACGCCAGCACTCGAGCCATGGCTGGTTCCATCATCAGCTCCTACAACCCCCAGGACAGGTAGGAAGACATGCAATGGTGAGAAGAGTGTTGGTAGTGGGTGTCCTGCAAAAATCTGTGCTCTGCGAGGTGCTGCTGTGGGTGGCGAGATGACTAGCGGCACCAGTCAGCTCTTCTGTAGCTGGCAAGTGGACTGATCCTTTTACTGGCACAGATGGAGGACTGGGCGCAATTTGGGAGCAGCCTCCATGTGTAGTGTAGAGGCTGAGGAGGGGATCTGCAGCCCAGGACCCTCAAGGTCTGTTCCTGGCAGCTTGCAGGGACTCTGGTGCCTTCCCAGTTCAGTTCATGGCTTACAGCCTGGGGATGATCTTGGCTGCTGTTTGGAGGACTCAAGGGGAGCAGTGAGTGCTGCTGTTTCCCAGATGCCGTGGGGTGATGAGCAGCATTTTGCTCATGTTTGGGAAATGAGATCCTCGTGGTACAGCAATGCAGCGCCCAGTGTTGACCCAGTCGAACCCAGTAACTGTACCCAGTAACGCAAGGGTGCTTGTTTCTGCAGGGAGTGCAATAACATGGAGATCCAGGTGGACATTGAAGCCAAACCAAGTCACTACCAGCTGGCCAGCGGCAGCAGTACAGAGGATTCTCTGCATGTCCACACCCAGATGGCAGAGAATGAGGAAGAGGAGGAGGAAGAGGAAGAGGATGGTGAGCAGGAGCAGACATGCAAACACCAAAGCTGTGAGCAAAAGGACTGCATTGCCAGCAAAACCTGGGACATCACCCTGGCCCAGCCTGAGAGCATACGGAGTGACCTGGAGAGCTCCGACAGTCAGTCGGATGACGTGCCAGACATTACCTCGGATGAATGTGACTCCCCCCACTCTCAGACTGCAGCAGCCTGCCCACAGACCCCCAAAGCTAGAGGTGCCGAGAGCCCAAGTGCCCACCTGAGCCACTGTGCCCAAGCCGAGGGCTGCAGGCTGGATGAAATAGTCAAACTGGAGTGCATCGAAGCCAGAGTATGAAGTGGCCTCCTGCTGAAAAGCACACTCGCTGTCATTGCATCTTTTGGGGCAGGGTTGTGTCCGTGTTGGCTTCTGTTTGTGATTCTCCAGCTGGCTCCCCAGCCTCGCCTTGGGAGTTCCTGTTTCTTACGTGACTTAAAAGAAAAAGGATAAAAAAAAAAATCCCCCGCCCTCTTTTTGTTTTAATTTATTGGTTCAAGCTCTGTGAGGTGTGTAAGAGTGTAAATATGTACGTGTGTCTGTATGTCTGCAAACATCCTAAGGGACTATTTGAATAAAGACTCTGGTTGTCATTCGACTTGCATTCAGCTCATCCTTTGCAAAGATGTCCTGTGAAATCCTCTGGCTCCTTTGCCCTTTGCTCAAGCATTTGTAGACACTACCCTAGCCCAAGGCATGGGGAAAATGGGGACACCTCCTGTTCTGCCTCTAGAAAGTGGGGTGTGACAGCTTTGTTCTGTCTGTGTCAGCCGTGGGGACGGTGCATGGGCCATGTGTGGCTGCAGTGGCTGGACCTGCTTTGTCCTGAAGCTGTAGTAAGGAGAGGTCTCTCTTCTCCCTGCTCCCTGTGCAGCAGGGCTGTGTACAGGTTAAAAGGGGGGAAGGATGGGGACTAACGCTGTGCTGAGCCAAATTCCCAGCGTTGCTGGGTGTAAGGGATCTGAGGTGGCTGAGGGCTGGGCTGGCGGCTCAGGTGGGATATTAGGGACAAGTGTCTTTGAGCCTCTGCCTGGACCAAGCCCTTCCCCAGACCAGTCCCAGGAGCCAGGGCTGCATTGCTGTCCCTGTAATTAAATTGTCGGTGCCTCATGTCTGCAACGAGCTTTGCAGAGAGCATCGCTTAGCAAGGATCTCCCGTGAGCAAGGGAGGGCTCCCCAAAGCACCCCTGGTACAAGCAGAGCTGGGTTGCTTTTTCTGCAGCCACCCTGGCAAGCTCTTGTCCTCGGCCCCTCTCACTCAGTCTCTTGCTATCAGTAACTTCCCTGGAAACTTTTTTAGAGTGATTGCCACCGAAAGGGCTTCTCTGAGTCACCTTCTGAGAGAAGTCAGCACCAGCCCTGACCCCTCTGCTTTTCCTTCTCTCTGCAGGTCGATCCCCATTACCTGATGGTGCTCGTCTCTGCCCTGTGGTCTGGCAGTATCCCACCCCGAAGAGCTGCTCCTTCCCAGACCCTCAGCCCGTGGCCACGGACCTGTCTGGCTGGATCCCAACCTGCCACCATCGCTTTAGAGTGGAGCGACCCGAGCGTGTCAGGGAGGCGGAGATGGCGGGGATGGATGGGGAAGAAGATGAGGCAGCGTGGCATGGCGTATCGGCATGGCGTGGCGTATCAGCGTGGCGTGGCACAGCGTGCCATGGCATGGCCGCTGGTTTGGCAGCAAGGGGAGCGCAGGGGTGGGGACAGGGCTGTGCTTCCCCTTGGTGGAGGCAGGCGAAGGTGGAGTTATCCCTTTGTTCGTCCTGGAGAGCTGGTCAGACAGGAATTGGAGTAGCAGTGGGGTGCAGCAGGCAAGTGGCTCCGGTGGTCTGGTCCTGGTCCTGGTCCTGCCCGCTCATGTGGGGACCCTGATGGATCCGGCTGCCAACCTTGGGGCTGAGGGCAGGGCTGGGCCGGGGGCATCGAAGGGATCTGATGGTCTGATCCTGGCCCAGTGAAGATGTGTCAAGTGGGTGAGTCTGGGTCTGGCACAGTGATTGTGATGGGAGGGTGCCGCAGCCCTGCCTGCCTGCGGCTCCAGCGCTGCCCTCCTGCAGGGGAAACTGAGGCAGGGAGGGAGGGGAGCCAAGGGGCTCAGACGGGGTCAAGGACAGGGTGATGACGAGTGTGCGAGGACAGTGGCCCCGTGGTGGGTCCCGACGGGGGAACAGCCCTGCTGCCGTCAGTCCTCAAAGCGCCGGGTGCCGAGAGCCAGTGCTGGAGCTGTCGTTTTGGGCAGCTCCTCTCCCCGGAGCTTCTTCATTCCTCCGGGGAGCCCCAGCCCTTCCCAGCCCCGTCAAGAACTCCTGTCCTTATGGCTGCTGGTCCCCACACCACCGTCCCAGTCTCAGGAGAGCCGGTCGGAGCGGTGGTTTGCATACCGGGGCTGCCAGCGGCTGCAACCACATCACCTCCTGCCTTGTCCGCCCAGCAGCGTGGGGCTCATCCTCTAGGGCTGTCCCCAAATGTCCCTGCCTGTGCTGAGCGTGGTGCAAGACCAGGAGGGACGGCTCGGTGCCAGCCACCCCACAGCGTGCAGCCTCCTCGCCCAGCCCTCCTCTCCCCTCTGTCCCAGGCCACCTCGATCCCGGCAGCCACCAAAGGGTCCTCATGAAAACGGGCCTCATCCTCCTCATCATTGGGCACCTCAACTTCATCACCGGTGCCCTTGTCCACGGCACCGTCCTCCGCTTCGTGGTCAACCCCCGGGATGCCATCTCCCTGCAGTACGCCGTCGCCAACGCCGCCTCCGTCATCTCCGCGCTGCTGGTACCGTGGGGTGCAGGGTGGGAGGGTACAGGGGGGGACATCGGTGGGTGTGGGGGGGCATCTGGGGTGGATGCAGGGTGGGCAGGAGGTGGGATGTGGGAGGGGGTGGGATGGATGTGGTGTGGATGCGGAGCGGGCAGGAGGTGGGATGCAGGATGGACGCTGCTCTGTCTTCTCTTCCCTGCTCTGAACAAGCCTTTCCAGCACAAAACCAGGGGGATTAAATGCACAGGGACTTCTTACTGGGTGGAGGCTGGGGAAGACGAAGCAGTGCCCACCACGATGCTGAATTGGCCGGATGAGATTTCAGGAGCAATGTCAACAGGGAAAGGGGACCAACGTCCCCGGGGCATGGTGGGTGCCGTGCATCGCTGACCCCCCCACGCTTCCTCGCAGACCATCTCCTGCGGAATAGCTGCCCTCGTGCTGTCCCGCTGCCTCGCCCCCGCCACCCTCGTAAGCACCTTGCCCAGCACCCAGCAGGATGCAGCCATCCCCTGGAGCGTGCACAGGCTCACCGCACTGTCTTTTCTCTCCCCTCCTGCAGAAATGGGCGGTTTTTGCCCTGAGTGCCAGCAGCAGCCTGGGCTGCCTGTCCTGCCTGCTGGGGCTGGCCGTCTCCATCGGGCTGACGATGGGCAGCCAGGGCCGGGCACTGCTGGCCCCCTGCACCATCGCCGACGTCGCCCTCGCCCCGGTCTCACACCAGTGCCCCTTCGATCCCACCCGTGTCTACGTGAGTCCTCAGTGGGTTGTGGGCTGTGGATGCCTGCAGAGGGGATGGGGAGGATGTGTGGGGACCTGATGCCTCGTGTCCCCGCAGAGCTCCACGCTGTCTCTCTGGGCTATCTCCCTCCTGCTCGACTTGATGGAGATCATCTTTGGCATCCGCTGCCTTCTGCTCACCCTCGACCTCCTTCGCCTCGGCCGCTGCTGCTGCAGGGCGCACCGGAGAAAGGTGACGCCTGGTCCCTAGGCTTGGCACTGACCCGTTCCCGTGCAGGACTGGGACGGACCCGTCTGGGCTTGGGGACTCTGGGACGAGGGTAGGACTTGCTGACCCAAAGCTCTCGGCCCCCCGGCCCTGCTCTCAGCAGTCTCTCTGGCTTGCAGGTCTCCTTGCGGGCAGACCCTGCGGAGAACCCCGACCCCGGGCAGTGCCTGGGCTTGCTGAGGTTGGACAGCGTGGAAACTGCCCGGCTCTGAGCAGGGCCCAAGGGCTGATGCCGTGGACATGCCCGGGCCAGCCCTGCCCCATCCCAGCACCCGCACAGCCCCACATTGGGACCTGGCTGCTCCCCAGCCCGGCTATGGGGCAGACGCATCCCCTGGACACCACCAGCCAAGACACGTGAGCCCATCCCCATGGCCTCAGGTCGCCTGGGGCTGCAGCAAGGAAGGTGACTGGGCTGGATCCGGACCCTGTGCGGAGGAACTTTCCCCTCGGCGTCGATGACCCCTTTCCCACCACTGACTGCACTGACACAAACTTTATTCTGTAGGTATTAAAAGACCAGAACCGCATCCCCCTCCCCATGGCCCCCACCCGTGTGCCGGCCGTGGGGCTGTGGGGAAGGGGCTGGCCTGGCCCCCACGGCCCATGGCAGTGTGTGCATGTGTGGGGGGTGCTGGGGAGCCCCTGAGCCACCGAGTCTTTGTCCCCCGGGCCGTATCCCCGCACCTGCTGGAGATGCAGCGATGGCTTCACCGCCAGCCTTTCCCACCGGGCTGGGTTGTCCCCCTGCTCTGAGCCCCCGGTGCTGGGGGGGGACCGTCCTCGCTCGGGGCAGACCCTACCTCCATCCTTCCCCGAGTCAAGCCAGTGCAGGAGCCCCCCCCCAGTGATGAGGACCGTCCCCCCCACCTCAGCCAGGCTCCAGCTCTCTCCCCACGAGGGGCCGTGGGGGCACGGGTGCTGGGGACCGCGGGGGCCGGGCAGGGGATAGAGGCAGTGACCAGCTGCAGGGTGAAGGGGTGACATGGGGCCATGGGGACTGGGGGGGGGGGCTGTGGGGGTCCATGGGGCTCAGAGCTGCGCGGCGCCGCTGGGGTCACACTGCAGCAGGCGCACGATGGACGGGTCGCTCTTGGCACCTTTGATGAACTCCTCCAGCGAGAGCTTGCCTGTGGGAGGGGGACACGGCTCAGCCCGGTGGCCACCACCCCATCCCGGGTGCACACGCAGGACCGGAGACCTCCCGGCACCCACCCGCTCGGGATGAACACCCTTGGGGTCTGCTCCCTAGGTTTTGGGAGCACGCCGAGCCCCTCCGGCTGCCGGGGCTCCCCCCAGCCATCCCGGCGGACATGAGCCATTTAATCAGCGTGCGTGCGGCTCCTTCTAAGACCCCTGGATTTAGCCATGAGACCTTTCCCTTAATCCCTTCCATCTCCTCTCATTTACCATCATTATTAGTATCCATCTGTCGGAAGATTTTTTCCGTTCTTTTCTCTGGAGTCGATTCATCTTCAGGCATGTTCATCACAGAGGAAACCATTTTGTAGATGGCCTGGGAGAGGGAGACGGGGGTGAGGGTGGGTGCAAGGTGGGTGCCTGCCATCACCCACCCGAGATGGGGGACAGAGCTTTGGGCTTCACTGCCCTGAGAATGGGGCTGGCGTTTAACACCCTCCCCGTGCGATCAGGCTATGGGGACCTTTAGCTCCCAGCATAGCCGGGGTGGGTGCAAGCGGCAGCTCCAGGGAAACATTCCAGCTGCAGGAGGCAGATGGGAACTGCTTCTGCAGGGATGAGATGCCCATCGAGATGCCACCGCAACAGCCTCATGAGTCACCTTCCGATGCCGAATCGACTGGGCTGGGGTCTGGGCAAGGAGAGCATCTCCTGTCAGTCTGCCGACCACGCATCCATCTGCCCCGGGGTGCTCGGTGATGGCTGCGTGCACTGTGAGTGGGGCCAGTGGGAAAAGCCCCGGGAGGGGGTGGCAAAGGGATGCCCCTAGGAGAGGGAAGGACCAGGGGATGCCCCAGGGCAGACGGATCCCTGCAGCCACAGAGCTTAGCGGGCAGCTCTCTGCAGACAGCAACAGGCTCCGTCCCAGGCACTGTCAAGCCGCGTACCGGGAGTAACGCAGGGTGCACGTCCCCAAGCCGTCCGCGTTCTGGGAGGGGATGGCCACCATCACGCCCAGGTGACAGGCAGGACCACACACTAGGAGCCACGGCGGGGCGAGGGAACCCGGTACCTGCACAATTTCCAGCATCTCCTCCCGACTGATGTAGCCGTTGCCATCCAAGTCGTACATGCTGAAGGCCCACATGAGCTTCTGCTCCAGCTTCCCGCGGGAGGTGACGCTCAGGGCGATGATGAACTCTCGGAAGTCGATGGTGCCGTCGCCGTTGGTGTCGAAGGTGCGGAAGACGTGCTCGGCGAACTTGGAGGCATCACCGTAGGGGAAGAAGTTGGCATAGATCTTCTTGAACTCCTCCACGTTGAGGATGCCCGAGGGACAGTCCTTCAGGAAACCTTTGTACCAGCCCTGCAGCTCCAGGTCGGAGAACTCGGTGTTTTCCCGCAGGTCTTGGAGCATCTCAGGACGCAGTTTGCTGTTCTGCTTCCCCATGCCGCTGGGACGTGCTGGCCGTCCCCTGGGGGATGAGTGCTGCAGGGGGGCAGGCGGCT